TGAAGGAAGTGGAGGAACAAACTATCTGGAAGTTAGATGGATGAAAATTCTAGGTAGAGTCTCCAGCAAGTGCAAATGCCCAGAATAATCAATGAGCAGCAAGGAAGCCACAGTGGCCAGAATGGAGTGCTAATAGGAGATAAAGTTAGCCAGCTATTTGGGGATGAGTTCATCTAGGGCCTTGTAGATCCCAGTGAAGCTTTTGAAATGGGAAGGCATTGGAGGATTTTGAGAAATTGAAGAGACATGATCTGATATAACAATTTGAAAGTGTACTCTGGCTGCTTTTTGTAGAATAGAAGTAAGGGGAATAAGAGCAGAGGCAACAAGCTAAGTTAGAAAGCTTTTACAATAATCTTGAAAAGAGACAACAAGCCAGATGGTATTGGAGGAGGTAACGAGCAGTGGTTGTTACCTGGATATGTTTCCTTTTGAATGGAATATCAATTGGGGCTTACTGATACATTGTATGTAGGGTATAAGAGTAAGAGAGGAGTCAAGATTGACATCAAAGCTTTACTCTGAGCAAGTGAAGGGTGGAATTACTATTAATTGAGGTGGGAAAGACTGCAAGAGCCCCATTAATGCTGTGGGGGGGGGGGCTGTATGTGAATATCTGAGACTCAGGTTTGAACATGCTAGGTCTAACATCTGAGTTAAGTTATGAGTTTTCTCCTGGAGAACAGGTACAGATATGGATTCTAGATGAGAGAGGTAGAAGAGATCGATTCTGAGATGGAGGTGTTAATTTTCAATTTTTCGATTTTATGTATGATATTTTCTCTTTCTTTGTTCCTTGTCGTCTCTATTAGCTCTCGAGTAGGGTGAATAGGTAGAGTAACCATTTGCTAATTTGCCTGTGCAATCATGTTATGTGACTTGAGTATTTGTCATGGTTATGTGTTCATATATCATGAATAATCCATTCAGACACCATGATTATTTGCAACTGCCTAAGGTTTGTCTCATTCTGTTTCATGGCCATTCTGCTCCTGCTACAGTCATCTGCTGCTGTGCCACAGTTGGTTGTAAGCTCCTATAATGTTGGTGTTTTCCATGTACTGTACTTATATAAACATACACCATAGCTGTCTACACTGGTGGTGTGCTTTAGGTTATTCACAGTGACTTTTAAACAATTACTAGGTTTTACTTTCTTCTCATGCATCATGGTTGTTTGATTATTCATGTAATTACATGATGTTCCTTTCCTGTAATTTTTAGTTTATTCACCATGGATGTTTTCACTATAGTTGTGTATCCAAATATTATAGATAATTATTTACTCATGGTAGTCATTGATACTCCACTTTCATTTGTATCTTGCCTCTCTGCTCCTGTGAAAATTTTTGACTGTGTCTGCCTGCTTATGGACCATGATATTCTGTTCTGCGTCATGGTGGTCTACTCTCACAGTAGGACCGTTTTTTTCTTAAACTATGTCACTTAAGGATAAATAAATCAAATACCTCTTTGCATGAATCAATTTATCTCCAGCTATATGAATATTTTGTTTGAAGGCACTGTGAGTATCACAGTTTTCAGTTTATGCATTATGATCATTTGAAACATCACCAAGTTTGTTATAATGATTTAGGTATCTATTTGTGTAAAGTCTATCTCTGCATTTGTTGATGGTTGTCTGAACATATAGCAATAGACATATTCATTTAATGGTAATAGCTGATCATACATAACATATCTCTGCACATGTAACAGGTACAGGGGCCTATTCTGTGGATATTTGCTAACTCGCCAAGAATATCTGGTCCAGCAGCACACTTTTTATAATTTTTTATAATTATGGAAAAATACTTAACATAAAAAGTGTCCACTTAACCATTTTTTAAAGAATACAGTTAAGTATATTTGTATTGTTGAGCAACAGTCCAGGGTCATCCTTCTAATCATGCACCATGTCTTAATGAACTATATTCCAAACTCATCTTTTCTTGTTTTATGATTATTATATTCATGTGCTATGGTGTTCTGACATATCTGATGACCATATTGTTTTATTCCATAAATGGCTTCATAATAGTAATGTTTGCTAACAAAATTCTATGGTCATTGCAGGGTATGTATTATGTCTCTCTCTCTCTCTCTCTCTCTCTCTATATATATATATATATATATATATATATATATATATATTATATCTGATGGCTGTTTTTTAATGCTCAATGGTTATTTTAGTATGTACTTTAGTTATAATTTCATGTAATATTGTTTTCTTGTGTATCATACTATATATCATCGTTTTTACCTTCTAAATCATTAACACTTTTGTGTCATTGTTATTAATTCTTAATGTGATGGTTTGCTACTTGTTCACCATAGTTTAAGCATAGCCCATAGTTATATACTACAATAGCATAGTTGGACATGTACCATGGATGTCTTTGTGCATATAGCATGGTCATCTTCTCTTATACTCAAGATTGTTACTCAAACTTTTATGTTTTCTGAATATACATCATTGTTATGTCCTATAGTCTATGGTTTATTTCTATAGTTTGGATTTTATATCCTATATAAAGTCCCTTTATTCCTGTGGAATAGTTGTTGATGCATGTATAATGTTTATCTTAGCATGAATCCTTGTCATGTGATCATACAGTATTAAGGTCTGCTAAGGTACTGTGGTATTTGAGCATATCATGTTTACTGTCTTTATTATGAATGTCGCTCATGCTTCAGAATTGTCTGATCATGAGCTATATTTTCTAAATTACATGGTATGGTTTTCTGAACTGTACTGTTCCTTGTCATTCCTATAAAATCTCCAACAACTATTGTACAGCTCATGAATCATGAATGTCATAGCACCTATATTAGATTAAATATAAGAAATTTGTTTTTTGAAAGAAACATTGTCAAACAGTGGCGATTTCATATTGTACAAACTAATACTATGATTATCCCCAATGTGGATATTTAATCATATCATAAATCTATCTCCTCCAATATTAAAATATTGATACACCTGTTCCAGATTCATGAGGACAGCCTTGTATAGAACTCAGTGACTGCTTTATAGTAATGGGATAGATTTAGAAGGAGTCTTCCTTTTAATCTTTTTATCAGAATACTCCCCGCAACTGATATGTTTTGCTTATTGGCCTAATGTATAAGACTTCTTAGAAAAAAATTTCACACCCCTCATTCCCTCTGAAAATTAATTTACTGATATTATTTCAAAAGAGTAGCATTGGGTGAGAGTTGGGAGTCCTTGAAGTGATTAGTGTCTCAAACTTAAGCCACACGGTTTAGAAATAGTAAGTAAGTGTAACTTTATTGGCTGTTTCTTAACTTTATGTCTTGAGTAAACCTTTACCAGTCCAGAATTTATACAAAAAAGCCTTACAGGGCTGGGGTTGTGGGTCAGTGGTAGAGTGCTTGCCTAGCATGCATGAGGCACTGGGTTTGTTCCCTAACACCACATAAAAAGACTCAACTAAATAAACAAAATAAAGGTATATAAAAAAGCCTTACATGTAGGCAATCCAAAATTACTAATTATTATTTATATAATTTGCTGATTTATTAAGAAATTTTCTGCTGGGAGGCTGGGCTTAGATTCCTTCTTTATGTTGTGATCTCTATCTAAAAGATCTGGCTTTGCCCTAAATTATCTCTTAATGAGGAAACATTGAATTTTTAATCAAGAGCTATTGTGCATTATCATTCAGCATTTTACCAACCACTTGTAGGAAACAGTTTACTCTAGGACTTTTAATATTCTGGAAATTTTCATAACTCTATTAAGTTAAGAATTTAAAAAATGATATAAAGAGATGACAGGA